TGTCTAAGTTAATCACATTTGTATGTGTATGGACTCTACACAATGCATCACAGTATATAGTTGAGCTGTACTGTATGTTTTTGACCTGTCATCACTGAAACAAATGTATTCAGTTCAATGATACAAAGATGACAACAACATCAGCGATAGGTCACCACCTTCTGTGAGCAGAGCAATACTTCCTTCGAAAATATATCTAAAGTATGTTAAAAATCATTGTTAGGACAGGTATTGCATTTGTGTTCATATTACAGTATTTACCATGCTCTACACAGCATGTGTCGCTGTAATACTCGGTCTTAATGTAAAGCAAGGATACAGTTTATTACTATACTGACATGTTAGTAGTAATTTCATTGTGTCATTAAATGCAAGTTATCACTGACTAAGTATGCATCACTGTTAGATAAACAACGTTACATTTATCTAGTCACTTGTATGTTGTCTTACATCAACCTTCTATGACGTCATATGTCAGTATGCATGATACCACCGGTGGTGAAATAGCTATCCTAAAACTCTGTAGCCATGGTAATATAAAATGTCAGTGTAAAATAAAACAAGTCTTGAGATATAACAAATTCAAACCAGTGAATTCAATAGGACATATTTGAAAACTTTATAAAAACTTGTCAGAACATCGTCATGACAACCCATGTCAGGATAACGTCATGCCCATATGACAACCCATGTCAGAACAATGTCATGCCCATGCTTTTACCTCATCCTTCTTTTCCTCTTCATCATCCTAATATGTAACATGGACAGAATTTCAATTAATTGTCAATCAGAGGTCTTTTAGGAATGTGTCTTCCACATCAAAAACAATGGCTAATGTGTTGGTTAATTTACAGAGATATCCAGAACAGAAATTAAAATTGTATTGATAAATTTTGCACCGAGCGTACATGCTTGTTGTTCTGAAACGCCACAACGTAATATCAAATGGTGCCAGATTTTTGTAAGATGCTTTGAGAGTTTGATTATCGTCTATATTCAACGGTCATTTTAATTGGAGTCGTGAATTGTTTTCCGATTTGGAGGCCTAATTTTTATAATATCCGTTACAACTAAACATCATTATTTTGATAAACACAAAGGCTGATGTTCATTTATTGTTGGATACTAAATGAAAGTGGAAATGGAAAGATTTGTCAAAAAGAGCAAATTTTCAAGAAAGAAAACTATGTTCACTTTGAACACTTATGATTTATTTAAGGTTACATACAATAACACACAACTTATAGTTCCCCAACAGAGCAGGAATCCTCGTGTGTTTGCTTAAGTAAAAACTGAAAAAGATGCATGTTACATAGCCAATGTAATGTCATTACAAAATACTCAGTACACATCATAATTAACAAAGTAAAATCAAGAAATGATGGAGTATTTCCCACAATATATGTAATATTTATCAGGACAGGGGTGTGTACAACGTACCGAGAGAGTGACCGTAGCCTGCGACACTTGTGTATCCAGCTTCAGCATGGCCATTAAGCAGTTGCCTTCTATTGCATCTTCAAAATCTAAATAGTCCTGTAAACAAACAACGACATCTTAGAACCACACACTGTGTATATATATAACAAGAGACCCAGAGGGCCTGTATTGCTCACCTGGATAATGAAGTAACCATGGGAACATATTGTCATTTAATATAATACTACAACTATTTCCAACTTTGTAACAATTGTTAACAGCTTATTGAGTGTGGTTATCCAACACTGCACAAAATAAAAACTTGCTCAAAAACATTTAACAAAGTCTAATTCAGCTGTTTTGGGCTTTTGACCCCCAGAATATGAAAACATCTTACACTCCGTATAAATGCCTCAACTTTAATTAGCCAATAGCTTATTGGGTGTGGCATTATAACATTGCACAAAAAGACTTGCTAAAAAACTTAAGTGAAACTGAAGTGGGACGCTGATACTGGGGTGACTACATTATAGCCCCACCACCACCACCACCACCACCACCACCACCATTCAGAAATTCTCCCAATAGGCACGTGACATTGAACTTATGTCTTCATATATCTAAAAAGTAATCCCAAGCAATGACTTTTTATAAGAAAGCACTATGCATGAAGATTGAGTGTTATCGGCTCACATGAACTTGTTGGGCTATCTAAGTTATCCATAGTAATTATAAGTGACCCTGACCTTTGACTGTT